CTTCATTTATTGATTCTAAAGCGTATTTATACTACCTTTTATATACATATTCATTTAAAATCTGCATAATAATAATTGATGAACTGAAATTGTACATCGTTTTAGGGTTTAATAATTACAGAAATAATTTCTAAATCATACAAATTTATTTACTAAAAGCCATGATTTTGTCTTTTAAAATCATTTGCTGTGGAGGGACTTTATCGCGTCAGACGTGTCACTTTGCTCACAGCTGATTGGTCCAAGTTCAGTTTGCAACCTCTTACCTGGAACATAACCTGCCCTGGACCAGGTTAGCCGTGGAGCGCAAGTTACTATGATGATGAGCACTGCTAAAAGCCAAACCACTTTCATGGTACCTAAAACCATGTTGGCACAAACTAAACTGAAACATAGCTGGCTAGCCACTTACTTCATGGTCTAGGCCCCTGGTTTGCATGTAGGGACCCTCATTATGTTACCGTGTTAGTGTGGGGCTATTTTGAGCCTTGTTAGTAGTATTAACTAGTGATTTACTTAAGCTTATTCTATGACCCATATACTAGCGTTATAAGCTAATCTGTTTTTAAAGATGAAGCTCTTTACATTCGAATATCATAAACGCATCCCAGAGAATGATTGATTCGGTATCCATGTGTTAACTAAACCTAGGTTTATTTTTCACCAGAATTTTCCTTTAAGAATAAAACTAAAACACTCTTTGCAACACTTCTCTAAAATTTAAATTTTTTCCAACATTCACTTTTGGAACATGCGAAAACCTGAGAATAAAACAAGACTACAATCAAACCTTTGCAAACTAACACTGTACTAAATCCAGATGCGTTTGGCTAAACAGGTCTTGTGAACATATTTTGAGTCGTAATGGTCAGAACATCACTATCAATCTGTTGTTTGAACAAAGAAGCTTGTTCTTCAGAGAGTAAACCTTTGGAGAATGTTTGCCACTGTCTAGTTCCATTAGAATCTTCTGAAAAAATTCACAGGAGCAGCTGAGCTCTTTGGGGTAACTCAGATTGATTGCATAAATTAGGCCAAGTAGATAAACACAAGCCTTCGCAACACCTGACAACCCCGTCATCACCTCTATGCCTTCCAGCATTACCTCAGTCAGTAAAGGATCATCTGCTGAGCCTCCTTTCGTGATGATCCTCAATGTAAGATATTCCAGTTCCCATGACTATCTCCAAAAAAAAAAAAACACAGCAAAACTGCATTTACTTGCAACATCACTAGTTATTGTTCAGATTGTTGCAAAAAAATACACTGCATTGAAACACAGAATGAGAAAAAAATGTCCCTTGATATTTTAAAATAAGATAAATCTCTTACAGCCTCTTACATCTTATATTACTCAGCCATTATACACGTTTATATTTATGTAGGTTTGGTGCTCAACTTGGTTATTGATCAATTTTAGATGCTCACCTGATATTGCTTGATGAGATTCTGAGGATTTCTCGATAGGTAGACAATTAAGCATCAAATTACAACTGTGCATTGTGATGCACTGGTTCTTCAATTTTCAATTTGGTTTCAAAAAGTGATGTATGTGTTCGCATGTCTGGCAAAAAAGCACATATGCAACTAATGACGTCAGAAAAGCTTCAGTACATTATAATTGGTTATGGTCTATTACTGAACCGATACCGAATTGTCCTCATTAGCATAGCAACGCATTGTTGAAACGATTAAATTCGACACCGCTAGTTTTCAAGGTGTAAACTTGAAAACATGGCGACTGCATCGGACAATTGACAAATGATATCCTAACGTTTAGACACTGTTGCAAGGGGAATGCCACAGTGACTACGTTTACATGCAGCCAATAACCCATTCAAAACCGGGATATGTGCAATAACCCAGTCGCGAACGGCCATGTAAACACCGGCAAAAACCCGAATATGCTCATATCCCGGATTTTTAAAAACGGGATATTATACCTGGGGTACCCCTTTTCTAATCCAAATTTTTGGTCATGTAAACGCGTATCGGCATATCCCCATAGTGATGGGATTATTAGCCGTTAGGAGCTCAACATCTGTCTCGCATGCACGCTTGCTCTAGATTACAGGATATTTTACTTAATTTGCGGTACAACTAGTCGATCACGAGTGGCTCAACTGGTGGATTTATAGAAAAACTCATCTTTCAGGCATTTTACCAACCGGATTGACACTTCAGCATGAGATATCGGGGGTGTGGCGTGAGAGCGTGAGAATGGGCTCAATTGAGTGAGTCTCATGTTGAATGCTTGAGAGTTGGCAGCCCTGTTCCATTTATTTATCTTACTTATTTTTGTATTATGCTTGCTTTTATAAAATAAATTTCTGTTTTGTTTTGTATTTTCAAGATATGAAAAAGGGGTGGAATGTAATGGAAAATGTCTTTTTGATGTATATTTTGAAACAAATATCTGCTTGTGTGTCTTATAAAACATACTGTAGATGTGTCGTGTCAGAAGATGATGTCTCAGGGAAATTGCAAAAAGGTCAAATAGGACAAAAATACATTTTAGCACAAGACAATGAATGCCAGAGATGGGGACTCGACTTCAGCTGACTTCATGATGTGTCAGGGAAATTGCAAATAGGTCAAATAGGACAAAAATACATTTTAGCACAAGATTAAGCACAAGACAATGCCAGAGATGGGGACTCGACTTCAGCTGACTTCAGACTTGACTTGCGGCTCAACCCAAAAGACTTGTCAACGACCTGTTTTCATGCAAATATTGCTTTTTAAATCGAAATTCATTTTAATGCATTTCTATTTTCTTTTATTGGCGCATACGTTGGGGAAGCGTATGATAAGCTGCATGCCCCCCGCCCTTTGTCATACTGTGCATGAGACAGAGCGTATTTAGGCCACGCCCACACCGGGGGAACACAATCCAACCGTCTCCATTGACTTCGTGTCTGTAGATTTCTCATAAATTCATCAAAAGTTGGCACTGTAAACCATCCTGCTGCTGCGCGATCTGCGCCGTCGTCACAGACACCATTAGAAAGCTCTCTCTCTCTCCTGTACAATGTTGTCGGATCCAAATATGGTCGTTTCCTTTTAATCAGCAACCAATTGCTAAAGTAAAAGGGGGGATTTAACTCTAAATGAGCAATCTCATTGGCCTGATTTAAATCTTTAGAGCCCGTTTTGCGTTTTCTCAAAATGACTTTTCTCTCAAACTCCAAGTCTGAAATCTCCATTTTAGTAGCACCTATATACACCAAACTTTCCAGTCTTGTACCTAGTTTTATTATGAAGACTATTACAGATGGATTTGTAAATATATTAGTCCTAGCTTGATTTATATAACATTGTTTTTCCAAAAACATGGCGAAAATCTATTTAATTATTATTATCTGATTTAGCTATTTAATGAATCTGATTACAGGATAAAAAAAAGTAGATATCCATAAATATCTACCCCCCCCCCCCCCATCTATTATGTGAACACAATGAAAAAATATTTCTATTTTTTTTATCTTTATCTAATTGGCTACTCAGATTTTTTTTTTTTTAAATGCGAATATGCAAATTCGCACAAATTTAATTAGACGATGCCTAATAATTTAAGACTTGAGACTTGAATTGGACTCGTAAGACTTGAGACTTGACTTGGACTCGAGCTCAAAGACTTAAGACTTGACTTGGAAAGATGACTTGTGAACATCTCTGGACAATGCTCAAGGCATGTGTGATTAAGGGGAACCGAAACTGTGTACGTGCAGGAGCCTTAGTAAGAAGAAGAGGGGGTACATCTTGGAGGGTGATCTTTTTGTATATAAACTCTGTAAAGTGAGAAGACTTTTGCCCTTCCAATATCAGACTCTGTCTGTGTGTGAACTGCCTTTGTTGCAAGAAATAAATATGTATACTAATGACTTTCGAGATCTTCATCTGTTCTTTAATTGTTATTTGAGATCTAGATACAACATTTCCACAACAGTTAATTGATCCCTTAATTGATCACACATGTATAATTTTACACTAGTTTAAATAGTTTAATCATAGTTTAAATGAATAAATATATAAAAAGTAATATAAATACACTTAAGAGTCAATGCGCTAATTTCACACATTCTGAAATCGTAAGCGAGGCTCCGGTGGGAAGAATCCTGGAAGTACATAGACAACAATGTCTTGGACTACCAACCTGAAGCTGCTGCAGCGATTTAAACTATTAGATGTTAATATCCAATATAGGATATGTATACAGTTTGTTCCTGCTTCTTTATATATATATATAAAAAATATATATTTATAAATGTCAATTTATATAGTCTAAACTATGAAAGAAATGTATGTACATTTTTAGAATAACAAATTTCTTCATTAAACACAACACTACGCCATCGCATTCGCGACTCTCCTATGATTTAAGGCGACACTTACGGTTTTCTTCCCACAGGAGCCGTTTCAAAATGACGGCTGCGTGAAACAGCGTATAGATGAAGCTTTAAAATGACTACATGAGCTTAAATGTTCAATTCTTAAATGTTCAAAACTAACTTTACAAATTTTACTTGCACTAATATACAGTAGCAAGACTTTCTTTTAGTTGTCCTCTTTCACAGACACCTATTTTCTTCTTGCTGTGTAAATTTGTTTAAATTCTTTTAATACTTAATTATATTTATACTTAATACTTAATTATACTTAATTTAAATTCTTTTAATATTTTAATACTTCTTTTGTGTATTGCGCTGCTTCTCGCGGGAGAAATGAATCTCAGTTTCAGTCTTTCTCAGCATGTGATTGGCTGTTTGCTACTGATGTCACACCAAAACTCAAGTGAGTTGACAAGAGAAAGTTGATCAGCATGTTACCAGGAAAGCCTGGTTGGATGGATTTGGTTTTATCAACTTGAAACAAATCTTGCAGCCCTCAGTTTGTTCAACTACTGTACCATCATGGTACAGACCCCAGATATAGAGAATAAAATTGTCTACAAACATTTACCATTGATGCTATTTATTTTCATGCACAATAATTGGTCATTAAACTGAAACCTGGTTTTAAGTTGATTAGACAATTGAAATAAAATTGTATGTCTTTGACGTCATTTTTATTTTAGCTTAAAAAAAGAAACACGCCTTAAACGTGTCTTTGTGTAAACAAGCATTAAACAAGTCATTTTATGCACTTTTAATTTTACATATTTTTTTTCCTGTTCAGTTTCCTGTAACACTTGAACAGATTGAAAAATAATAAAGCTTGCTTAGAAGCAAATATAAGAGATATCAATTCCTTGCAATGTATCAATGGTAGGATCTCCTCACTGTGACTCAGTATACCTGGGAAGGAACAGACAAGATATGTTAGTATAAACAAGACTAACAAATCCACACACCATAAAGACTGTTTTATAGGATCTATTTTGATAAACAATGAAATGAAAAGATATACAACACGGTTACACAATTCAATCATTTAGAAGTAGAAAAAGGATGTGGTGTAAAATGATCACGTTGTAAATCATTTACCTGGTTCAGTGCCACATTGACCACTGTAGAGTCGGTCTCGCTGGTGGCTTTGCAGGCGAATCCTGAGATACAGATGGAGATGATGAACTGAAGGATGGAGAACACCAGCAATACTCCACTGATCCCCAGATAATACTAAAAAATATTCAAAATGATCATAGGTATAATATTCCATCAATTATACTGAACGAGTTTCTAAATCTGAATATAAAGTATATTATATTGCATTATACTGAGGCATCATGTTACTTTTGAACACATGAAACATAGCACACAAGTTGTATTGAACATTGTACATTTAATACCTTTACATTCAAACAGATTTCCTCTGGATCACTGTAGTCATGACTATAACCACGACCATAGTTACGACTGTAGCATCTTGAATAGTCCAATGAGCTTAAAACTATCTCTATGCACATCAGAACAATGGCTATCCCTGCAGTCATGGCACTGATCACATTCATTCCAAGAGAGGCTTTCACCTACAGAAAAAAAAAAATGTGAAAAGTGACAGTAATACTACTTGTAAAAACAAATCAGTTTTTACCTCTGTAAACTAATGACTCATATAATGTCTTGATCTTTCAAGTTACAGACCATGTGGTCAGAAGAGAGTTTACCATGGAAAGGGTTGTGGTTGTTGAAGAACCGAAACTTTTCTTTAGCATTTTATTTATTTGATGGTGCCAAAATGTATGATGATCGCAAAATATGTTTTGTGAAAAGAAATAGTTTAAATAAAAAACATGTAAATATATAGGCAGCAAATATTCAAGAAAGTGTTATGTTGATTTTTGTTGTTGTTTGGTGTTAAGAGGTGAAAATAAAATCCCAATGGCCCTTTTAGCCCCAATTGCATGCTGTCTTTATTCAAATAACAGATGACTGAAAGTGATCTGTGCTCACAGAAACTTATAACTGTTGAATATTACATAAGTTAGGAAAGGACAGTTGTTCACCTGAAGCAGCTTCTAATTAGAGGTCCAGTTTTTTAAATATTTGGACCAATACTACATTTTGAAAGCTTGTAATGGTTTAAATTGCACAACAATTATTTGAGTGATGTGTCTAATGGTGTATGTATACATTAGAAACAATATACACACACTATTATTGGCATAAGAAGAGTTATCCACACAGATTGAAGTAAATGTACATACCACACACAAATTAAGTTTATTCTGCGCAGCAATGCACAGAGATCCAGCACTGATGTACTGAGAGAAAAACAGGGCATTTAAAAGTTCATTCTGGAAATTAAAATCAGTTAAAAGCAAGTAATTAAAATCATTAAAAGCAAAACACTTAATTGAAACTTACAATAAGGGATCCCCAGAAGGGTATGCCACTAATTATAATAATATATCGGTAACGGTTGCTGTGAAAGGTGTTTACGATACCAAACAAGAAACACACCACTCCAATCATTATTTGGACAGTCTAGAGATGGGGAAAAAAAGTCAAGTGTTTATATTTTTGCATAATGGCATATCATTCATGTTTAGACACACACACACACACACACACACACACGCACACACACACACACACACACACACACACACAGAGAGAATCTATATTACTGTTTTATGCACTCTACAGTCTAAATGCAATCAGACCAACACAAACATATTAACTTGAGAACACATGACAACTTTTAACTTTCTGTTCATATTATCACATGAAAATTACACATTAAAAAAATCCACAAATCATAATTATAATTCATCATTAAATGCATTACCCCCAGTGCCTTTGGTTGTGCTTTGAAAAATCCAGTGAGAGCCGTATTGGGATATACTCCTCTGCTCTGCTGTCCATCATCACAAATAACAGCATTTTGTGCCACCTGTGGATTTACTTGGATGACAACTGTAGCTTTGTCAGTTGAGATGACCTTGCTGGTTTCCATTATTAGTTTTCACCTGTAATTAAGCATTCAAATTCTGCAGTTCACAACTCACTTAAGGTTGTTTTATTTTTGTTTGTTCTGTACAATTTTTATATGTAAACCATTTAAAGCCCATGTCCAGAGTGATGTAAAACTGCAAGACTGACAGTTTTTTTTTTCACTATAAAATAAGTAAAAGTAAAAAAACAAACATTGTATAGTTCATTTTCTGAGATAAACAGTTAAGATCAGAGGATAAAATCTATATTCTTCACAAATATTTTGCCTGATCGTATCTTTTGTAGCCTAATCCAAACAAATAACAAAACTTGAAGAAATGGAAGAAATTGATTTTATGAACCAAAGGATAACAATAAATGAGCAACAACAAAACTATCACTGGTGTGAGAAAAATTTTTTTTTCTTTTTATAATTGATGTACATATCATTGTGTGTATATAAATACAGACTATAGATAGATAGATAGATAGATAGATAGATAGATAGATAGATGTTATTTGAAAATATTTTACCTGAAATGAAGTGAGAGGTTGAACTAGATGTCTGATCGCTGTAATAGCGTACCGTTGTGTTTGTGGACTGTGAAGAACCGCTGAGGAGGAGCTTGCTTTTTTATACTTTGACTACAGGATTATGTTAATGTACTTCCTCCTAAAATTCAAAGGGCTTTGGGTAATACGTTATTTTGATAGTCAACTTTAGACATTGTACTAACTTTAAGTAACTTTGAACTGAAAATTTGAACATGTTTTTTAAGCTAAGCTTAACTGATAAAATGTAGTATAATGTGTATATAATGTATATAATATAATGTAGATGTCAGACAACTTCAGCTGAATGACCTAGTTTCACATCACCACAAAAAAAAAAAAAAAAAAAAAGTACAGTTGTGGTTGCTTTATATTTTCTTTCCATTCTGCTAAACTTTGGTCTAGTCATTTGTAGAGATTGCTTTATCTGACATAAGACAGCAGTACTGATGTAAATTACAGTAACATAACAAGAGACACACAAGTACGTCTTTGTCACTAATCATGTCATTTGATTTTCAGTACACAGTGCATAAAAATTAAGTAAATTAAGTTGTTTTTATTGTAAATAAAATGCATACATTTTTCGCTTTGCCTCACTTTATCACAACAAGTTACAAGACACACACACACAAAATGCAAAATCAAGATATAATCTTTCTCTCATGGTGTGGGTTCATGTCTTGTTCCTGTCTGTCTTGTGTTCCCCCGATTATTGTGGATTTGGTTCAGTCCTGTTTAGGGATGTCCCGATACCACTTTTTCACTTCCGATACCGATGCCGCAGCTTTGGCTTTTGCTGATACCGATATCAATCCGATATTTTTATTTTATTATTACTTAAACTAATAAACAATAGCACTTTTCTCAATTAGCCACCTAAAATACAACAGTTGATTATGAAAGATTGCCACCCTTTATTCAAACACTACAAAAAAAATAATATATATATATATATATAAATAAATAAATAAAAAAACTGGTAATTCAGTACTTAAAAAGCTAGCTAGTTACCTTAAAGTTAAAACAATTGTGTGTTAAGCAATCTACTTAAAGGAGCATTTCACCCATTGCAACATTAATCTTTATTGAAAGTGGATCATATGTAGTTAAAATGTAAAATAATTTTTTAATTTGGTGCCCTCTTGACCGAGAACAGACAGAAAATAACCAAGGGGCGCCTATATATGAAAAAACTACTGCTGCGTCCCAATTCGCTTACTTATACTACGCTCTAAAAGTATGTACTCTTTTTGTGAGGAAAAAGTACATACTTTTGAGTGTGTATAAAAGAGTAGGCAAGCTTTGGGACATACTATCACGTCATCTTTAACGGACAGCTCTGTCGCGTGCTCCGTGCATCCTGTCACCGTAAACTGCCCTGCCAATCATCTTGTCACAGTTAAAATCCTCCATTCTATCTAATTTTATTTCCTACCGTTTCAGAGAGCACGTTCATCTGCCAGTTGTGGGTCTTTCATGCTCTCCTCGTGTTTGCAAATTGAATATAATGATGCATTTAGAACGTAATGGCTAAACGTGTCTTTACAAAAGTTCACAATGCTGCCGCAAATGCAATATAATGTGGACAACATTGAATAAATTCACTGATACTGATAATTAATCACTCAAAGCTCTTTATCCAAACCTCTCTACACAACCACGGGGACTCGCGCGTCCTCCGTATCGACTACATGTCTGTAGTTTTTAACACTTTTTACTCGTGTTTGTAGTTCTAACCGAATCCTCGTCCAACACGCAATGGTTTGTGGGCAATATCAGCCGTTAGAGTGTGCATCGATCTACACTTCGGATTCTGACCGGAAAAAGTAGACCATCCGGGTATCTTTGAAACACTCATTTCAACATACTACGATTTGGGACGTACTAATTCTATTTTCGAATGCTATTTAGGACGGATAGTATGCGAATTGGGACGCAGCACACATGTCCCACAATGCACAGCTCCGCAAGCCACACCCACTAATTCGGAACAGCCTGTCTATGGGAACAGCGCAAACAGAGAATTCACTCTTCCGTCTAAAAGGTTAACATTAGCTGTCACCGGAGTTTGAAATTCATTTCACACAAAATGTCTAGTTGGCTGTGGCGAGCAGGACGATCTAGGGCGAGGGATGTAACTTAAGAGGACGGCGCTCCGCGCGAGTTATAACAGAGACTAACAATGAAAGACACCTGTGAGGCACGCGCCGGTCTTGCGTCCAGAGTCAGTGCGGGGTCCTCGACCGCGACAGGCCGCCGCCTCAGCGCCTCCTGCTCCTCCATCAGCCTCAGCTGCTCTAAACTATACTGCGACTCATAAAGATAGCCACGAACATCGGATTCAAGCAGCAGAATTTAAAAATCCATATCATGTTTAGTTTCTTCCGTCATTGTCATAACTTACTATCTCCACAGCGCTTGTTAGCTTAGCTTCCAAACAAGATGGCGGTTATTGATTTCAGTTTCTGCAAGTGAAGTCCCACCCACTGATCTGTAATAGGCTTGTAGGGTGAGTGGGTCCAACACCCTGGAATAATAATGAGCTAATATACTGTATGTAGTTCTAAAGATTTTAATGAAATATGACTTCCTGCTTATCGTGACGCAAAATGACGATTTTTACGTCACGATAAGCAGGAAGTAAAACACTTAAATCCTTATTTCTCCCATCAAATCGCAAAAGTCAAAAGATTCTTATTTTTATAATTGATGTACATATCATTGTGTGTATATAAATACAGACTATAGATAGATACTGTAGATAGATAGATAGATACTGTAGATAGATAGATAGATAGATAGATAGATGTTATCTGATGCATAAAATATTTTACCTGAAATGAAGTGAGAGGTTGAACTAGATGTCTGATCGCTGTAATAGCGTACCGTTGTGTTTGTGGACTGTGAAGAACCGCTGAGGAGGAGCTTGCTTTTTTATACTTTGACTACAGGATTATGTTAATGTACTTCCTCCTAAAATTCAAAGGGCTTTGGGTAATACGGTATTTTGATAGTCAACTTTAGACATTGTACTAACTTTAAGTAACTTTGAACTGAAAATAGATCATGTTTTTTAAGCTAAGCTTAACTGATAAAATTTAGTATAATGTGTATATAATATAATGTAGATGTCAAAACTTAAGCTTCAGCTGAATGACCTAGTTTCACATGACCACCATCACCACAAAAAAAAAAAAAAAAAAAAAGTACAGTTGTGGTTGCTTTATATTTTCTTTCCATTCTGCTAACCTTTGGTCTAGTCATTTGTAGAGATTGCTTTGTCTGACATCCCAGACAGCAAACTGACATTGAATCAACGTGGAAACGACGTCTCTCATGACATTGAAACAACGTTGATTTTGCTCATCGAATTAACGTTGAACCAACGTCAGACGCGGCATTCTTCAAAGCTAAATGAAAATCGAAAATTGGTTTGCTTTCATAACGTTGAAACAACGCGTTGATTTCAAGTTGATTTTCCGTTAGTTTTGAAAGAATGACGCGTCTGACGTTGGTTCAACGTTAATTCGATGAGCAAAACAATGTCAGATCAACGTTGTTTCGATGTCATATTTCCACGTTGATTCAATGTCAGTTTGCTATCTGGGATAAGACAGCAACATAACAAGAGTCTTTGTCACTAATCATGTCATTTGATTTTCATCGGATTTGAGCAGCAGAATTTCAATATCCTCTTCTTCCATATCATGTTTAGTTTCTTCCGTCATTGTCATAACTTACTATCTCCACAGGGCTTGTTAGCTTAGCTTCCAAACAAGATGGCGGATATTGATTTCAGTTTCTGCAAGTGAAGTCCCACCCACTGATCTGTAATAGGCTTGTAGGGTGAGTGGGTCCAACACCCTGGAATAATAAGGAGCTAATATATGTAGTTCTAAAGATTTTAATGAAATATGACTTCCAGCTCAAATGAAAAATCCGCAAAATGACGATTTTTACGTTACGATAAGCAGGAAGTAAAACACTTAAATCCTTATTTCTCCCATCTCAGGGGAAAATAAGGGAATAAACTATGACCATTCAAAAATATGACTGGGTTTCTAAAGATACAAAGCTTAATGTAAATGGGTGAAGTGTCCCTTTAATACTGACAGCTTCATTATAAAGACAAACAACAAATCCCCAAAATATATGATCATAATCTATGACAAAAATGCTATTATAAACTAGATTAGTGAATAATACACATTGCTCTTTATATCGTTGTAAAATACATTCATGACAAACAAGATAATAAAAATCAAAAAGATAATTATTTTAGATCTAGCCAAGGCTACTATAAAATTGAGACATGATTTAATGTATTGAGCAGCATCATATGATAGATAGGACAGAACAAGAAAGGCTAATAATAAGCTTTAATTGCGTCACTGCATTATGATATGAAAGGCTCCAATACAGTGCGGCACAAAGAGCTTATGCGCATCCTGAGCATAGAATGATGCGCTTGAAGCCACGTGGAGTTATAGCACGCAGCCAAAGACATTAGCTGTGTCCCAATGTGAAGGCTGCGTCCTTCGAAGGATCCAGTCTACCCAGCCTTCGAAGGACACTCTTAATTGCGCCAGCAGGTGTTGTCGCCTAGCAACGCTGTAAATGTAGAGCTGCCATCCAACATGGCATTCCTTGGGCAATAATAAAATGGAGCAAGACCTTATAATTTTTATTTTTATCTTTTATGTTTTATTAGAGGAGATGGTGGGGAAGTTTCGTCCCCGGCGCCGCCGTGTGATGTTTTTCCGGCTTGGGCAGGACCGTGGCCAGGTAAGTAGCCTAATGTGGTTGCATCCCAATTCAGAACTTGCATCCTTAATAGCTGTATTTAGTGCACTTTAAAAAGTACAGATGTAGTGGGTGTATTTGAGTAATGTAACGATACTCATGAAAATACAAACAACACATAAAGCTGTTCAAATGTTAATAGCCTACCTTACGAAGATGAGCTTTTTTTATAGATTTTATTCTCTTTATTAGCCTATGTTGATCTTATTTAGGCATGTTTCCAGTGTGTTTTGTTTTTACGCAGTTAAAGCATAAAACACAAAACAATAAATA